CCATGGGACCGACCTCGTGCTGAGAGAAAAAGCCATAATTAAGACAAAATTATACTCAAATACTCATAAAACTATACTGAAGTAACACATATATACTTTGCATTCAGAATTGGTTACACTTCTCAAGATTTTGCAAACCACCAAATATTAAACACAAAGCATCCATATCATTACATCCAGCTTTCACTACATACCTAGTGTTAACTATCCAAATAAAAGAAAAAAACATTTGAAACAAACTTTATGCTGATGAGTAGGTAAACTATTTAATAAAATACTTTTTTTTGATCAACTACAAAGATTTCTGTAGGTCAGCATTTATAGCAAGCAATCTTCTATATGATTAACATTCTTTTATATAATAACAAACAAGTTATACAAATGATAATACAATTAAATGTAGAAATATACAAACTTTTTACTTACCACCTGGTTTATATACTTGAAACTTTTCATGGGGTTTTTTGGTTTCTAGCAGTAGGTCAAATTTATAAGTAGACTTCACACCACCAAGTAGTTCACCAATTGTCTGATCCTCAGTATCATCAAAAGAGCACTCCAAGGAGTCATGAAATTCATCATATTTCACTAATCTACAGCAGTCTAAAGGCACTATAGCATCAAGTCTCATTATCTAAAAAGACATCACATATGCATATATTTCAATACTGTAATTCAAACACCTGGATGAGTGATACGAATAACTAAAACACGACTAATAATAACAAATAGTTTTCTCACTTCCCAGGTAATACATCTAAAATAAGTCTAGAATAACATACACTGTACAAGAAACACATTACACATATTATTACAGTAACAAAACAATTACATAAATGATATATAAAACACTGTTAACAATGGGCAAAAAGGCACACATAGTACTAAATCATAGTCTCACGTTAAGTGACCTAATATCTGGTATGTGTTTCATGCTAAACTACTTAATGAATCTTTTAATAAAACATTAATATATATATAAAATACATGCTTCCTTATTAGTTTATTAAAATTACCTTATACGTTACAGATTATGAAAACAAACCTCAATATTAAGGTGATTTTTCAACAAATTAATTCTACAGTTATCAAGTTCTCATACTTTTGTTACAATGATATAAACTGAGCTAATGACAAATGTTCTTTTGCATAATCTTTCATGACAAGAATTATAGTTAAAATGTAAAAGTAAACTGCTGTTAATTTAGAAACTACAAATGATATGAAATTTCTCCCTGCATGAATCCATGGTCAATATATTTTATTTTCAATACAAATTACTTAATAAACAAAGACAATGACTATCTCTTTCTTAACCTTTAATTATACAAAAATGTATTATAATTGTTATCAATAAATAAAAATGTGACATAAATGTTGATTTATTTTCTAAAGTTGAACCACAATTAAATTGGGCAATAATACTTACACTGCGAGCTGTAGCAGTGGTCTCTTCCAAGGTACAGTCTTTGTGAACTTTCAACCTCATCTCAACCATACGGTTTTGTAATGGATGATGACAAAACAATTTGATCTATGTAGAAAGTCCACACAATTAAACTTTAGTCAGACCAAACAATAAAGTTCAAAAATGTTAACCTAATCCTAATGAAAAATAATACACATTTCTTTCATAAGCTTTGACCTAACAGCATAAAAATACTGGTAATAGATGTGTGAAACAAAAATATTTTGCTGTATTACAGGTTGGCTTCAATATATTCTTAACTTTACGTAGCTTTGTATTATCTGGCTTCTTCAGCTATATTAAAAGATAAAAAGAATTAATATTCTCTCCTTTTTCTATTTTTCATTATTATAGATTACTTATCATATCCCCTTTCTAATAATACTTTATATGAAAAACTGACAATATCAACTTAGTTTCTCTCATTTCAACAAAGCTGATTTTTCAATGCAAAATAATTGTATTTTATAATGAAAATTTATTCTGAAAAATTTATTTTAATGTAAGATTTACTAACTAAATGCCAAACAAAAACAATATTTCAGAATGTGCATGTGCCACATCTAAATGACATATGATGTAAAAAAAGCTGAATGTGATTGTTTTAATAACAAAAAATATTCACCATTATTTATGAATCATCGACCACATGACAGGATTTATCACATATATTAACTGCTACACTAATTTTTAAAGAGAGTAAATGGAAATTGGAAATACTTTAAATAACAATTTCTAAAGAGCTTACAAATCTGCAAATGAAACTCTACTAAATGCAGTTACACAAAAATGACAAGCTTTTATATATAAATTTTTGTCATCAATTTAACTGATTTAAAATGTTTAAAATTAAGAAGTACATGCCTTTTAATTTTTTTGTAGAATATCTTAAAATATTTTCTTTTGGTTATATTCATAATTTCAGGTCCTTTCCTTTTCACGTATACTTAAGTTTTAATGTTTTATTTTCTTTTCCTGTCCTTTACTGTTTATTATTCATCTTGACACAAGTAAGAGGTGCCCTTGGTGTGTATCACAGTAGCTTCAGCAGAGATGCTCAAGCCCTCGGCAAAATTATCTTATACTTGTGCAAGATCATAAGCCTTGAGAACTTGGGCAGTGTTTGAGATAAATTTAAAAAATGTTTAAACCTTTCAATTATGGATTTTAAAACATAAATAATTAATACATAATTAACTCAGATAAATATAAGTAAAACTGAAATACAGTTTAACTGTCTCTCTAACTATAATATATTTAGATAAGAAACAACTGTAAGTGCTATCATGGTCAAAGTAGCCAACAATACAACTGGCAGTTACATCTACTTGATAACGATAACCGAGTGTCGGTTTCAAAATAACTGTTGTTGTATTATAATGTAAAATGAACTCTTTCAAATGATTATAAACATGTACATCAAATAAGTACATGTAGCTGGTAAACCTCAAGGATGTGTATAGAAAGTGGGCATGGTACTTGTTAGGGGTTGGAAAATTTATCTTTAGTTTCAACTGAATTTAGTCAAAGAACACTAGAGCATACTTGTGAATAGGGCAAGTAAATGTACTTATTGTCTAGACATACATCTAGAGGACTGGGGTTATCTAATTCAAGACTATATTTTTAACTCTTTCAAAATGGGCTCAGTTAGATTTGATACTACTAACTTTTAATATAGTATGTATATCTTCACAAAATTTGGCAGTCTTTCAGTAAAACAATACAAGTCTTTCATATACAAAAAATCTTATTTTTTTGTGAAGTATTTTAAACAAACGAAAAAAAGATTTGTCCATGAATATACCGAGTACTTGTTTTGAATAGTCTGTGTGCAAAGTGATTATCATTTTAAGATTAAGGATAGTTTTCTTCACCTCAAAAATCTCGTATTTGATTTCAAATATTTATTTTCAGTAAAGCTTTATATTTCATCTGTTATTTTCTCTACTCTAACTCTATACAAAGTTAGTCAATTTGATTGATCTCGTAACCACCAAAAAAAAATTAAATAAATCTAAATTACTATATTTTCTTTCTAAAAATGATTTCAAATTGTAATATGAAACTAAATTTGTTTATCCTAAGTAGCTTTAAACTAGTAACAGCATACATCTATTTATAATTAAATTTGATTGTTTGATTGCCCTTTGAACCATGTCTAACTACTATTTGCACCATTATAAGTTTTTAATTGCTTGGGGAACATGGAGCTCACTTTACACTATAGAATTATGTTACCCATGAGCAGCTTGCATGCATGCCTTGTGAAAATTTTCATTATATTATTTTCTTTACCTAATCTATCCTTAACTAACCTATAGAGATCCATATTTTTACATGTTAGTTAGTTTTATGATAATAAATAAACAATAATCATGAAAAACAAGAAGTAAAGTACTAAGCCAAATCTTTTTTCTGCTGTCAATTGTCAATGACACTCAATTCTACTTTTTTTTTATACTAATAGTAGTAATATATTTTTATCTAATTAAATAATGCACCAAAGAACATAGAATAATAACATGGAAAAAGTACACAATTTCTGGTTTTCTAACCATGCTACAAGAGCTGTTGCAAATTCATTTAAGCTAATTGTTATCTTTCTCATGGGAATGAAACTTGTACTGAGAGTAAAATTGACAATTCTCCATTCAGGAAACAATGTTATACAATACATCATTTGGTAGATGAAAACCTTGGATTTAAATTGGCTATAGATAATACAGAATTAAATGTAAGACAGAACTACTAACAAATCCTGAAAGAGAGGATGTGACAGGTGTGTGTGGGGCAAGAGGGGTCTGATTTTCTATTTGACTGAGCAATGATGATTTTATAGTGAGTAATTTACATTGAATTTCATACTTATTGAAGGGGTGGTGGCTAATGTAGAGAAGAGGAGATGCCTAGAGAAAATGTATCACACTAGGGAAAATTCAGAATTTTGTTAAATATTGCCTTAAAAAGATAGAACTTAAGACTTATATGCTATTAAAATATGGATTATTAGCTAAGATTTTATGCTGTACTACTTGGTATAATATAAACAAAAAGTAGATTAATAAAATTTTGAATGTAAGTCACTAAAACCTCGTGACATGCACAGAAAAGGATGCCCATGGCAATAGAGTTAAACAGTGCATCTAAGAACAGAGAATGATAATATACAAAAAGGAAACAATGTCCTATATTAATCATAATTTAACTGGTTTTCTAACTATTCTAACTAATAGTCTCAAGCTGAACACTGAAAAAGAAACTTTCAAATTGAAAACGAAATAAACAATAACCTGTATTGAAAACAATGTAATATAATATGTCATTTGACAGATTAAAACTTTGCTTTTCTATTGGTTATAAATAATATAGTATAAAACGTCAGAGAGAGCTAGTGGCAATTTGTGAAAGAAGGGGTGTGACAGGTGGGCATGGCAAATGAGTCTGATTTTCTTGTTTATGGCTCCATAAGGAAATAAGAGTGAAGGCTATAAAAATTAGGTTTTGCCTCAGTAATATTTATATTATAAAGAGTAATTTAAATTAAATTCCATCCTTCAGGAAGGGATAGTAAATAATTAAAGGGAGGAAGCTTACAAAACAAATTTCACAATTCTCATACCAGAGGAAATTGAGGATTTGTTTAAAATTTTTCCTTATAAAATTAAGAACTTAAAACTTATAAAATATTAAAATTTGATTTATTAACTATGTTTTGATGCCAATTTCATTCATTTACATTGATAGTGAAGTAGTTTGATTAAATCTTGAATGTAATTCTCTAAAAGGTCGTGGCATACACACTTTGACCTACCCGTGAGAGGGTTAAAGCTACTGACTGCACTACAAGTTCACATACTTAAGCCAAGACACCTTAAACAGCTTTAAGCATAACATTTTATTGTGTCATGTTTTTGCTACATAAGCCAGAATACACGTAAAATATGACAATGTTCAAAAGGACAGTATTGAATAGGTTTATCAATGCAAGAAAGGTTTAACTACTTTAAATTTTGGAACAATTTTATTGTGAGAGTCACTTAAAAGCAGGTGTTTCAGTATGACTTTGGTGTAATATTTTATGCATTATGCCTCAGTTTCAAGAAACTAACAACCTAATGTCATTGGATAACATGTGGATACTAAAAGAATTATATTTTAGCTTACAGCACTTAAATGCAAATAATAAGTTAATGCAATAATATATACAAGATTTTCTTTCTTGCTGATTATTAGAAAATCAAAAATGTACTACTAAGAATTATTTACAAAACCATGTATGATTATACATTTTGCAGTTTGTACAAAAGAAGAATAATCCAACTGACTTTCATTTTTCTTCATTTATTATACATAAACACATCATTTTACAAGCTTGAACTTAATTTTTAAAATCGAAAATCAAATAATTAATTTGTATATTAAGATATAAAAATAGTGTCATCAATGAGTACCTTGCAAGTATTTCTTTCTACTTCTCTTTGTTGTCTGTCTCTCTCCTCTTGTTCCTGCATACATTGTAGTAAAGCTTTAATATGTTCAGGGAACTCTTCTACTCCTATACATTCTGAAAGTTATGATGAAAAACAATGTTGAAACATTTAAATATACTTCATATTTTAAACAAAAAAAATTTCTTTGAGTACATCTACTACAGTAACAATATAAGATAAATAAAAGTATTTAATACAAAAAATAAGTATATTTTACAAAAATAAAAAATAGTTCATTGTAAAATAAAACAATACTTAGGGTGGGTTGCACATCTGATGTCTTTTTTTTTTTCAATCCAATTTATGGTTTTACTTTATCATAATTTTTGTTGACACAAATAAACTCTGAAATTCTGTTTCTTGAAAACACTAAAATGTTTTTCATTATGATTTTAAGTAAAAGAATCTTTATTAATCAGATATATATAAATATATATTTCAAATACACATGCTTCATAAGAACAATAAAAATTTTAACCACGATATCAAGTTGTTAATTCTTTTCAAATAAACAAATGATTTTAATGGTCAACAGTTATCAAAAATGCATGGAAAAACTAAAAAAAAATCAAGTACTTAGAAATCACAATTAATCTAAACCAATGTTTACACATTTTTTTAAATTGTTATTTTTCAACAGCACATATTTGCATCATTACATGTAAAACAGTGCTTGTGTGTTTCATTTAAAAAAACTATTCTTGTACAAAGTAATTTCCATTACCTGTTTAATTGCTATACAAGATATGATAGTTTAACAATTCTTTAATAGTACAGAATATATACTCAACTTCCAATAAAATTATGCTAGGTATTTCATACGTTTTTTTCTCAACTAATTATGCTTAACTCATGCCAATTTAAGTTGCAGCTATGAAAATAAGTCATATCACTTTTGAGTTAAAACAAAAATTGTTCAAAGTAATATTAGTAAAAAACACACCTACTTTCAGTAAAACCTACATCATACTTTTTAAGGTGACTAAAAAAATCAATTTAAAATTGGACCACTAAACACCTGTGGAAGATTTCAAAGTTTTTAGATAGTTTAATAGACACTATTATTTGCAAAACTATTAAAGGTTACTAGATAGTTATCATACAAAAGACTGAATTGTATTTAAAGAAAAACTTCAATTTGAGATGTAAAATAAAGGAGATTAGTGTTAGCACCTACATATTAATCATCTTATTGCCTGACTTAAACATTAAATTTAGAATACCCCATAGCGTTTTAAACTCTCAAATAACTAGAAAAATAGTAGTATTGAAAAATTTAGGTCTAAAATAAGCAAAAAAAGTAATGCATTACTGGTAAATCCATTTTAAATATATAAAACTACTGCCTCAAATATGTATCATTCCATCGGAAATATTTTATTAAAGTGAAAGATTGAATAAACGTAGAAAAAAAACAATAAAGAAAAAATGCCACTCAAGTAATATATATATGTATAAAATTATAAAATAACAAAAACAAAATATATATAGAATTATACGATACAAGTTATGAATTAACTCTTTGGAGTTTTCTATGTGAATCATACATGTATATATTAATATATTTCCGATTTACCAAATGTCTTAACTGCAATATAAAATATACTATTCAATGTTAAGTAAGAACTATGTAATATTATTTCATATCATAGTACAATTTATAGTAATATGTAACAAGACATTAAATTTGCATACATAATAATCTTGTATGCATTGGAATAAAAACATGAGATTGTTTCCTCTTCTTTTAAACATGGCCTCAACTAAAATTAACAATTGAGACATGTACTGATCATGGCAAAGTTTGCATTATAGTTCTAATATTATGTATCTAGCTTTCAGGATCATATGTGATCTTCATCACTACCTGACTTCTTTGACAAAGGTTGCTACTTCTTTGATAAAGCTCGTTCAAATTGCTGCAGTATTTACACCCTCAGGAGTTTTGCTGTTACTACATCCTGAGGACTGAACTATGCTGACCAATTCATTTACCCTTAACCAGAGTTATGCAGTGTGTGTGTCTCACATCTATAGTGAAATCGTTGGTATATGTAAATACTAAAACCACATATAATATTAGTCGGTAAAGTCAGAGCTCATGTTACAAAAAGCTACAGACAGCTTAGACCTAGGAAATAATTTCCATCATGCATTCACAAAATGAGTTTCATGATTTAAAATATGAAAGTGCATTGTAGGATAGGCAGTATATCTAATGTTTGTTTTTGTTTTTTTTATACAGATTATATTCTATTATTTATAATAACTATAGATTAACAATCTATAGTACTGTATAAAGATATAAGAGGTACACTTGCATACAGTACTAATTTTCTGCTAAAACACTACTGCATTAATTACAGCAACTTTAAAATATTTCATCTTTGATGTAATACAAGTTTTTGTAAGGTTTATTTAACAATTCTAATGTGTTCAAACATACAACCATACATCAACTATTAAGTAAGAAATATAGTAAACTGTCAAAGTCAATAAACAAAGAACACAGCATAGATCATGATACTTAAGAATTAATCTTGAAAATAAAAAAGCTATGAAATTACTTTAGTCTTTGTAGTGATAGCATTTTAAAAAATTCTTCTATTAGAGAAAAGAAGAAAATTACTCCATGAACTTCATTATTACCACACAAAAAAAGCTACAGTGGTGAATGATGGGAGCTTTATATGCTGTAACAGGAAACTTTCAGTATCAGTAGAACACGGAATCAATTTTTGAAGATTCATTTTTAATATGACAAATACACCTGTCATATGTAAATGAAACAAACTTAATCCAACAGGAGTGCTTAAAATATTAAATGAGGACATATAATCAAGACAATTCTGTTATGAAAAACTTCGCTATTGAAACCTGTGCTTTTAAACTTGAAATAAATAATATTTTAAGAAATTAAGTTATTCCATGCAGTTGATAAGACACTATCAACACCTTTTGCAACAATGGGTAAAAAGTGATAATTCTTACAGTATATTTTCAGAGAAAGCTTGTTAAACAGTCATTTAATAAATAATGAAAAAGACAAAGTAACAAGCAAACATAGTAGGCAGAAATCATGTCAGTAATATGCAAAAACATTCACAATTGTAGAAATCATAAAATTAGTAAATCATCATTTAAAGTTAGGAATTTTTCTGTAAAATTGAGACTACGTGAATTTGAACATGGCTGTTTCAATACGGGGCAGATGCATTAACTGATGCTGATATTTATGTCTCAGCCCATCTCATTATCCACAAATCTATATACAAAAGAAATTATTTATTTTCTTGAACAAAGAATAGAGAACCTACCAGCATTTTTATTCTTGTCTATCTGCCTATACATCAACATGTATGCATTCGTTGAACTATAAAAGAATGAAAAACAGAAATATTCAGAATTAACTAGATAGCAAAATGGTGGACACATCAATAGATTAGGTACTTGAAGTTAGTTATGTTACATGTCAATAAAACATCCAAATCCAAAAATAATAATGACAAAAAAAAACTTCCAAAGAACACAAATATGCTAAACCTTACACATACTTATTAAAACCAAAAATAAAATTTCCTTAGTATACTTGTTACCCATTTAATAGCATGCATTTTCATACTTGGTGTTCATATTTCCCATATCCACACATAATTCTGAACACAGGTAAATGTTATTTTTTTCTACTTTTTGGTAGACCACGATTTACAATCTTGTGAAAGCCTAATGCTATGTATATCTCAACAAATTTGATTTATAATACTCATGCTTTTTCTTTTTAAAAGCAAAAATGCACCTTTGGCACTATTCTGAAACTAATGTAATTATTTTGAAAACAATATTTTAATTTTAAGAGCAACTTTAGCCTGTTATTATACATAATTTAAACTTTTTTTGCTGCAAATTAATAAATAGCATAAGCAATTTAAAATTTGAAAAAATAACAAAGTAATACAAATTAACAGAGAGAGAATTCAAATCATGCAGATATAATAATTCCTGAACTCTTTCTAAGCTTTCAGATAAGCATAAAAATGTACACAGTGCCAAGAGTTCAATATCAAACAAAAATGTAAATACCTTGAATATGCACTAGAATAGTAACCCCTGCTTGGGCCACCACCATATGTTTTCCTTATATCATCATAGGTTATCTGCAAGTTTAAATGCAAACATTTTAATTTACTTATAGTTTCTTTATACTTCGAAAAAATATTCTTTTCTTACACAGTGAAATAGGGAAACTAAGTTAAATACAGCACATGGTTTTTAAAAAAAAGAAGAAAAGCACAATTGCTTTTATTATGCATTCAATATTTTTCTCTAATTTTCAATATTAAAAAAAAACAATAATGTTCATGAAATTAATAAAATGTATCATCACTAAACATTATCAACATAGTTCAAAACATTTTTTTTGTAATAGAGGGTTTTTTAAACAATTGATTAAGCAAAATTAAATTAAATTATATTAAATTACTAACAGGTAAGGATAACATTAATGAATAAAATAACATACCTTTTGAATCTTGAGATAAGCACATTCTCATGTAGTGTTTATCAATTTTTTATGAATTAAAAAATATTATGAAAACAAAACAAGTACAAAATCAAAATATAATAATTATTTCACTATAACCTGTCTTTATCAAATGTAATTTCTTGTTCATGGTAAATATACTTACCCTACATTTTCATCCTAATAATATGTCATACTCTCAGTAGCAGTGTTATACCTTGTTACTTAAAACATAGTCCTAAATAATGGATCATACTCTCAGTAGCAGTGTTATACTTTGTTACTTGAAACAGATAGTCCTAAATAATGGATCATACTCTCAGTAGCAGTGTTATACTTTGTTACTTGAAACAGATAGTCCTAAATAATGGATCATACTCTCAGTAGCAGTTGTCATAATTTATCTGATTGTTTGTTTTAAAGAAAAGCCACATTGGACTATCTGCTGTGTCCAACACAGGGAATTGAACTCTGGATTTTGGTGTTGTAAGCCTATAAACTTACCTCTGACTCACTGGGGGACCACATTATTTGAAAAATACATAATTGTAATTATAGATCATACTCTTAGAAGTAGTAATATCATACTAAGTTATTTGAAATAAGATAACTAGCAATGTAACTCATAACAAAAACAGGTTAACTCTTTCGATATAACTGACCTTATAACAACCAGATAACCATGAAAGTATCCATACCATAACTTTCATGTGATTAATGTATCTTTATGAAATTAGTAAACATTGCAAGTCTTTTATACATAAAAATCAGGTTTTTGAATTAATTATTTTGACTAAAAGTCTGTACATGAACATATGAAGTCATGGTGTTAATTAGTCTGCATGCAAGGTTATTTTCATGTTAAGATTAAAAATACTATTGTTTATCTTACGGTTTTAAAATTTCATTAGCTAAATGAGTATTAAAACTATTTTACAATACAACTTTATATTTTTATCTGTTATTTTCCCTATCCCTACTCTATACAAACTCAGTCAATTTAAACAACCTTGTAACCACCACAAATACAAGGTAAATCTAAATTATCCTTCTTTCTTTCTAGAATGACTGAAAAATGTAACAAAAAAATACAATTGTTTATCCTAAACAGCTTAAAATCTGTAACAGCCAACAACCGTTTCTACTAAATTTTACTGTTTTACAGCTCTTTGAATTGTGTCTAATAATTCTGCAATACAAGGTTGTAACACCTCAGAGAATGCATAATTTAAGATATTGAAAGATATCAATCAAAAGCTACTCACAAGCATACTGTTTGAAAAAAATATTTTTTTCATTATTTTACCCTATCTAACCTAAATTAATTTTTACATTTTAGTTAAGTTTATAATACTAAATAAAAAACTTTAATAAAAAAAAACAAGAAGTATAGTACTTACATTTAGAATGTTTTTTTATGTTGACCCACAAATGAAAATTAAGCTTACTTTTTTTTGTAATGATGGTCTAGTACATTAAATATATTTTTTTATTTCAAGTATATACTTAGGAACACAAAATAATAGCACAAAACAATATCCTATAATTATTATAACTTAATTAGTTTTCTGACTATGGCATAAGTGTCTTAAATCAATTTCCTTAGGTACTTGATCTACATTCAGCAATAGTAACTTTCAATCTGTAGTCAAAACATCTAAAAATCTCTACTGAGATCAAGGTAGCATTATACTTCTTTCGATAAATTAAAACTGTCTTTCTATCAAATATAAATGATGTAACAGTAAATGTCACAGAGAAATAAAATTAGACTATAGCTACGTAATATCTGTACTGAGTAATTAACATTCAGAACAACAGAAATGGGTGGTAGAAAAAAAGAGATTTGGCAAGAGAGAGCAAAGAAATGTCATGATTCATGTATATGAGGAGATTGAGAACTTATCTAAATATTGCCTTTTAATATTAAGAAATTAAAAGTTATATAGTATTAAAATTTGATATGTTAACTGTGTTTTGATGCCAAACTTATTCATATACATTGATAATTATGCAGATTAATTAAATTTTGAAAGAAACTAAGATGTCACATGCACACTTTGACCTACCCATAATGACAGGATTAAAAAGAAGCTATAAACTATTACATAATGAAAACTAATTACCTCCATTTTAGCATGAAATAAGGATTTGTAACACCACAAATGAATTATTTTGTCAATATCATAACATTTTGAGTCTCTATTCAACAATAAAAAAATAACTGAAGCTGACATCTTGTGACAAAACTTCTACCTCATCGTTTATCACAGATAATCTCTCCAGTTTACCAAGTGTCTTTTCACTTCACATACTACTTATGAATCATTAACCAAACTCATCTATGTATTTCTAACACTTGATATATACTAAGAACATTGTTTTATATTACCATAATTATGTTTTCACTGTTAAAAGGCCAATGAACTTTTATTGTCACTCCTCATCACTGACTAAATACCACTGTTTAAAATGTTAATCACACTGGACAACAAAAAATTTGCTAATGAAGAAAACTCATGTGAATCGGGGTAATTTGATGGTGCTGATTTGAAAAGTGCAGACTGAATTTGTCCATCACCTCTAAATTTGGAGTTATTGTAATATACCAATATTGTATCAGCACTATGTGCAATATCATGCAATCAACTCAGTACAATATATTTATGCTATGAAATTAAGTTTACTTGGACAGTGTTATGGGTAAAACGCATACATGTTTGATAACTCCAAACACTGACTATAATGCATTGGTGCAAAATTTCAAATAAACTGTTCATATATACTATTTGTTCTTGATAAAATTGCAGCAAATTGCAACACTTTTGCTTCATTCCCACACTTACCTGCTCCACCCAGGAATCATAAAACCCTCACGTGCTCAATTTGCTAGAACATTTGAGAAGTCCTTTCACTATACATAAAAGAAATGGAGTTAAACACCTATCTCTCACTCAGTTGGTCACTTCATCTTGCTCCGCACAAAGTCAAAACAAAGTTCGATCTTCTTCATCGCATCATACCCACAACATAATGATGTACTGCAAAACTTTGTTTTTTAAAATCTTTTAAACTCTAGTTCTGTAAACATAAATTCTTTTATATTTTTTGTAAAATAATTTGACATGCTGGCTGCCTCCAGTTCAAGTAAAGTCCAAAAATCACCCAAATAATTTCTGCTACATTTGTGGAAAATATATTACAGTTTCATGAATGAAAAACATCACACACAAGGAAAAGGTAGCTTACTGCCACTATTTTGGGTGTAAAATAGGTAAACAAGAAAAATATTGGGCTTCAAATGTGTGTAGTACAGTTCGCACATCTGGCTTGAAACAGTGGCTGGATACGAAGAGTTCAAATATGTTATTTGCAGTTGTCATGATATGTCTTGAGCCCAAAGATCATCTAACTGAATGTTATTTTTGCATGACTAATGTTTCTGGATATTCAGGCAAAATTAAACAATATATTAAATATCCAGATATTGCACCCGCTAAGAAACCAGTACCTCATAGGCCACATCCACCAACAAATTGGGAAACAAAAGTTATCCTGCTAAGAAGATACAAATCATCTTCATCCTCTTCATCTAGTAATTCTATTCCTGTGGCACATCAACAAAAACAGCCTCATCTGTCACGAAAGAAGAGCCAAGCGATGTGATTTGTCTCTGTCAAAGCAGCATGGGGAACTTCTTGGTTTTCGTTTACAGCAATGGAATTTATTAGTTCCAGGAACAAGAATTTCAACTTACTGAAGTTGCCATCAAACTCTTTGCTTCTCACTACAGCGTGCAAGATATTTTGTGTTTCTGTACAAATGTTGATGCATTAACCTTATCATCATGGGAATCCTTTACTGCACATGACACAAGGTTTTAGTGTCTTACATTCAACATTTTATTAAACTATTTTTTGTTTATGTTATACCAATTAGAATAGCATAAAATCTTAGCAAATAAACCATATTTTAACAGTATACAAGTCTTAAGTTCTTAATTTTACAAGGAAATATTTAAAAAAAACTCTCAATTTCCACTAGTGTAACCCACGTGACACATTTTCTCTTAGCCTGTCATCAACCCTAATTTATACACCACCCCTCAAAAAAGTATGAAATTAAATGTAAATTACTCTCCATAAAATCATTATTGCTCAGACAAACCATAATTTTTATAGCCTTCAATTTTGTTTGGTTATAGAGCTATCAAATAGAAAATCAGACCCCTCCCACCACACTCACCCGTCACATCCTCTCTTTCAGAGTTAGTTGATAGTTCTCTTTTACGTTTCATTATACATTATCTATAACCAATAGAAAGTCAAGGATTTCATCTATCAAATGACGTATTGTAAAATAGTGTGTTCTGAACAGCTAGATGTCAATTTCACTCGAAGTACCAATACTGTTCCCATGGGAAAGTTTACGACTAGCTTGAATTAATTTGTAACAACTCTTGTTGCATAGTTAGAAAGCCAGAGGTAAGGAAACTTTTCTACTTTTTGCATGTTATTAGTCTATATTCTTTGGTGCATTATTTAATTGAATAAAGATGATTAAGTGCATTACTACCTATAGTATAAAAAATTAAGGTTAACTTTCTTTGAAAACTGAGAACAAGAAAAAAGAAGATTGATTAAGTATTTTATTTCTTTTTTTTTCATGTTTATTCTTTATGTGTAATTATAAAAGTAACTAAAATGTAAGAAAATGGGGATCCTTTTAGGTTAGTTAAGATTAGATTAGGTAAAATAAATAATAATAATATTATAATAAATATGTTTCACGAGGCACACATGCAAGCAGCTCGTTGGTAATGTAATTCATTAGTGTAACGCGAGCTGCATGTTCCCTGGGTAATTTACAACTTCTAATGGCGAGAATAGTAGTTAGGCATGGTTCAAAGGGGAAAAAACAAAATTTAATTATAAATAGATGTATACTATTATAAACTTAGAGCTATTTTAAGATAAAAGAATGTATTTCATGTTACAATTTGAAGTCATTCTAGAAAGAAAGATGCTCTTCTTACACTCCCATTTAGACTTCTTTCCAAATAATCTACGTACAGTGAATGATAAGTGATTCCACCAAGATATTTCTACAATGGAACAGCAATATCAAGGATGATGGAATCCTGCAATGATGGGAGTTTACTGTTGCTTTTTACATCATGAAACTGAGAACATACACAAAAGGCACAAAAGGCAAAACAAGTCAAGCAGATATTTTGTAAAAAAAAAAAATATAATACCATGATGAAAGCTTTGAACATAGCCTGAATGTATTTGCAGTATATAATCTTACTATACTCCTTACTTTTTAAACTGGTATTGCTATTATTGTTTTTGAACATTCTTAAATGTAAATCCGATGATGAGAAACCTACTTAGAGACTGATAATGCTTGGAGATGACTTGAATGGGCAAGGAAGTAAAACTTTATAAAAGTTTAACATAACAGCAAATGTACAACGTTTTGACAAGGTCCTGTCATCATCAAGTACAAGTAGTTTACATTGAAACGAATATATATATATATATATATATATATATACACACACACACACACACACACACACACACACAGTATGGAACAAAGAGATCACATGACCGGATATTGTTGCATGACTCATAAGATATCTTAGTACCCCCAGTGTATTGGTTTACAGTAGGGTTGTTTTGTTCAATTAAGATCGATTCCTTGATTTTTCGTGTGTTTATGTTTGGTTCTTTGTTTAAAATTATTGTGTTTTTAATAGATATACTATGGTTTTTTGAGTTGCAATGGTGGAAAACATGGGATGGTTTTTTATTGTGTTCTGTAAACCTGATGATGGCAAAACCTTGTCGAAACGTTGTACATTTGCTATTATGATAAACTTATATTAAAGTTTTTCTTCATTACCCATTCAAGCCATCTCCAAGCATTGTTAAATGTAATTGTGAATGAATAAATCTATCATAACTTGAAAACTAGAAGTGATCATTAATTTTAAACAGATTTTTAGATTCAGCATCATCAAATTACTCAGAAAGAATAGTATTTTTTCTAGTAACAGAGAAATTTTGTTTTTTTGCCTGGAATTATCAAATAACATATTTTATAGAAACAGAATTTTTCACCAAGATCTATTCATACAAATTGGTACACTTTCTAAATATGCTTAGCCTATTACAACTCTTTATATACAATCTCAGAGCATTGTAAAATACCAGAAATTTCTGTTAATATGTTTGATCACACTTCTAGTGCTGAATTTTTTATTGACTTACCAAATTAATCTATTACAGAAATTATTGTATGTTGACAACTAGGTTACATTTGATGTCAATAATTCTTAGTGTTTCACTTTCAATCTCGTCCTTACAATAAGCTTAACTTTCACAACTAGGTAAGTAAAAAAAACAACTGAAAATAAACATTATTATGAATATATTCTTGAGAAACTAATACAATGAAAGTATAAAACTGTTAAATCAATATGTTTATAAGACCAGTCAGAAAAATCAAGTCCATAAAAACATAGCTTAATAGCTTTGATATTCAGCCATGATTTAAGAATTCAATAAAAAATACAAATGAAATCTAGAAAAGGACATTTGTCAAAAATCATCTTTTCATGTGACACTTTATCTTCAAAAACTGATAGTCAATGTTTAATACCTATAATTTTGATACGAGTTAATTATTATCATATGAAAGTTATTAAATTTACCTTGGTAACTTGAGCATCATTAAAGCAATACCACTGGCCATCCTTGAAACACCTGAATAAAGTATACAATAACAAAAGATAAAGATCTGCATACAATAAATAAAAATTATAAAGAACCACACATACAAAAAAGTCACATGTTAAGCTGATTTTATAATGTTGTAATAAACACACATGTGATCATTTAAGGTGTTAAATGTTGCAAAATGAAATAAAAATTTAATTACAAGTATTTAACAAAAACTAACTGGATGCATGTATTAAGGACGCAAATTTCTCAACCAATGTAAATTTATTTGAGAAACAATACAAATGATTAATAAATTTTATTATTTGTTCCTGGACAAATAAGTTCTGAATTCTTTAACTATATATAACAGTCTAATGCTTTACATATAAATCCTAATAAAGTGACAATGTAAATTCTGATGAGTAACATAAAAGCCATTTAATGAATCTACTGCCTACTGACTTTTGGAGTAGTATCAATAAATATTATTTGATAGCATATCTATAAAAAAAAAATCAGTTAACAATAATATACACAGAAGTTAAAATAATTTTAACATGTTAAATATAACAAAAGGAATAGTTTGATGTCCAATTACCTCAAAAGATTTAACTCTAAAATTGAATAAATACTTTACTTGATGTAAGCATAATAATGTCCCCCATTTGCACTTCCTGAATGGACCATAATAGAAAACAGTTCATACACATATGGACCCTGTGATAATCAACAGAAGCAGAAATTAGTGTCACCATAAACAAATATTATTGATAATGTCAGTCTTTATCATCAACTTCAACAGTGGAAGAAAAATCAACTTTAATTCTACATATCTTCATTCCACCTTCCCAACAAAACTAACTTCATAAAAATTATGTCATCACATTTTTAATGTTCAATAATAAAAAAACCAAAAAACACTGAACTCTTTATTACAAGAAATTGGAATGAAAAACCATAAATGTCAAATTGTTTACATGTATATGTAAAAGACAAATGATCTGGAGTAAATTCATGAATAATACACAGGAGATACTACACTAATAACACAGAAATCTAAGCATATGAAAGATAGTATGCAATGATTGCATTCAATAAATACTGAATTTAATACATACACTGTAGTATTTGCTTTCTTGTTAAGCACAAAGCTACAAAATGAGGTATCTGTGCTCTACCCACCATGAGTATCAAAATCCAATATTTAGTTACAAGTCCTCAGCTTTACCGCTGAGCCATGGGGGAAGGGGGGCACACTGTAATATAAATGAAATATTCTGTATATAAAATGTTTAAAGTAGCGTAATAAGAAGGCACTCAGTTTCAATTTCCTTTAACTCTTTCTAGGCTGAGGGTGTGTTACTGGCATTTCTTGATTTGCTTCTCCTTTGCACAATGGAAATACATAACAGGGTTACGCGCAATTTAAAACAAACTTACTTAGTTACTTTCAGCTTTTCAAAATTTCAAATAATTTAATTTAGTTAATTGGTTAATTTGTGAAATTTGGTTCTGAACACTGTTTTGAACAAACATTAAAAATACCTCTTTCTGTGTTAGAATTTCTTTTAATATTGATCAGAAAGTTCCATTTCATACATCCAATCAGTTTCAACTCGACTGATATTCATTAAGATATTTAACTTGCCAATTGCAGTAGTCATCACTTCTAGCTATAAATATTTTATCAGATTAGGTAACTATTTTTGCTGATGATATTCTTGGTCAGAATCTATTTATATCTCATAATCCAACTTTATTTTAAATAAATTTTTTTACTTGTGTATATTATTTGAATACAATAAACTTAACTATAATATTCAATAAATAAGAATTTGAGTCACTAGAATATTTTTCTGTCACTTACTGTACTCTCTAAACTTAAGGTTTATCTCATGTTTTGTTATAGAAAACAATTTCCATAGCCTTTAAACAAAAATAATTTAACAAAAAAACATTTTCAGGAATGAAAAGAACATGTAAAGAAGCTATAAAACACTCCAAGATCTGTGGTTTGTTCCCAAGTTTTCTAAACTTCCCACTGTGTTCCACTGTTCTTCCCTGCACGAGTTAGGTCTTGACACTTTACAATGAAATTGCAAATTACTTCTCAAACCAATATATTAATTTTACATTGAAATAAACAATTTATAGCCTGCTCTATCTAATGGCATTTGAACTATGCCTGTATCTGTTTCGAAAGCTAAGTTTTATTAGTAGTTATTCAATTACCTGGTGCAATGTCACAAAAGTGTGGAAGCCCAAAGGTTTTACTGTGAAAATTTAGCAAAAGATAAAGAAAATCACGCGAGAAACAAAATTATGTTCTCAGAGGATGATAGGTTCTTAGCAAGTACAATCCTGTGCTTTGGAATGGACAGAAACATTAAAATATAAAAAATCTGTAAGTGTAGTTTACAGGCAAGAGTCTTCAGAGCTGAGCAGAAACATAAGTTTGAACATTTTCTTATTTATTTTTCGTTGGAAATCACATTAACTAAATGTTACACAATAACAAAACTCATAAAACATGTAAATGTAAAGAAAAAAAATGTTCTTTATGGTGTAATTGTCACAACAGTTTTCAATTTTATGCATCACCATCTCAACATTTCTTAGATTTCTTGATTCAAAATCCTTCTAGAATAATACTAGAGTTTTACTCTCATCAAAAGAAAGCAGAAAACAATTCATCAATAAAGTAAACAACTTCTTCAATTATAAAACATAAGATTTAACTCTTAAGTACATCTACAAAATAATACAGTCAGCAAAAGATCTTGTTTTCAGGCTTTATGAGCAGATTAACATTAATCATAAGAAATTACTAGCAAACTATAGCTCAATTAAAGTAATATATAAAATTATTGACATAGCATTATAAACAGTATTTTTAACTACAAAATAAACCAATTTTCACACTTAAACATAGCTATACTTCAACTGATTCAACATTGTTTTAAACTATAAATTCATAAATTAATGTTGATTGTAAAATACAGAAAATCAATCAAAATTGATTAGTCTCAGATATCAGATAATCATTGGTGCTATCATCTGTAAATGTAAAGTACCTTCTCCATTGCTTTTCGCAGGTTGCGTTCGTTTGTTGGAACTTCCTGACTACCAACAACTGAAGAGTGACCATTGGGACCAAGATCTATTCCTTCATCATCTTCTAACTCTGCAGCATCATCACTCATTGTTTCTGATCCTGTCTTAGTACCACTGTGAAAAAAGTTGTCTTCATCCAAGGCTGATCCACTGTCTGTTGTGTCTGCATCATCATTAACCAGTTCCTGATCATATTGACAGATAACACAGTCAGTTGGCTAGGATCTTGCAGCTGTATTTTCTTTCAACATGGAGGGTTGTTTGTACTCTCTTTGAATGATTTTGAATTTTCATGTTTCTCTATAATAACCTATTTTAACTTAAAAGTAAAGATTTTGGACAACAAGAGGAAAGTAAATTTTCCAAAACATTATGATCTTTCTCTTTTAACATGCATTTTTTAGTTCATGATCATCACCAATTTCCACAAATGTCATTCAGTAGTACAGTACATTTATGATCTATATATATATTTTTTTTTATCTATTATAGTCTTGACTCTAATGTTGAGAAAAAAAAACAAATGTCATGAGACTTCAAAAATGATAGAAGTTTCATTTTGGTAAGGTTTCAACTATTTGGCATTCCTGCTACAAAATGTATATATATTTCTCCCAGTAAATTAATATGCAACTTATTCTCCTTACAATGTTTTAAGCTGACCTTCAAAGTATCTCTTATCAGCAGATATTCATTGTAGCTTATTTATACATGTGATAACCATGATGCCCTTTAATGAACTGTCTATGCATTGAAAATAATTTTTTTTTACTACACATAAAATAAATGATTCTTTAACTCCTTCAAGTCATTACGCCTAAAAAAAACAAGGCTAAGGAAGTTAACGTAGTTTGGCCATTGGATATTAAATAATTTTATGCATATATCATATTGTATATTATATATATATATATTTGAGAAAAAGTTGCACGCATTGAAAAAGCAGACTGAAAACATTAAAATTTTGTCAAAAGCACAAATAGTTCCAAACTTCTTGTGACTCCTGCATGCATGTACTCGAAATCTATGATGAAGCAAAAGATTTCAGCCTTATAAGTATAATAATAAAAGAACACTTTATCATGTGTAACATTTAAAAAGTTAATTAAAAAAACACAATAAATGGCACAAACTATCAGAAAACTTACAAATATGTCAAAACTAGTCTCTAATTTTATATCTACTGATAGTTTGTTCCATTTACTGTGTTTTTTTTTTTACTAACTTAGAACAGCGAGTTTTACACTGATTATTTCAGTTTGTTTATACTAAAGATCAATTTCTATTTATCTCAGACAAACAATTTTAAGTGGTGCATTTTGTTTAAAAAATATGACCTGGGAATAGTTTTAGTACACCTCCATAACAGTAACTAGTATTCTCTGGGGTACTAAGAGTGTTGCTGTGACATTACTGGGCTATTTAGACTGGTGTGGTTCAAGTAGTATCCACAGATAACAGGAGATTCAATCAGAAGCGTATTACAGAATAAATTCTAGTGCTGTGACTTTAAATGAATTTGAAGAAAGAGTCCAAACACAGAATAATAAAAGTTAAAAATATTCTTTATTTGATCAAATTAATTGAAGTGGTGAGTGAATTTACTGGAAGGGAAACAGTGACATTAATGAAAATATATAGTTCTGTTCCAAAATAACACTTGTAATTAAGACTGTTTCATATTAAGAGAGCACAGCATTATATACAAGATTCTATATTACCATTTTTCTTAGTGCACATGCACTAACCACATCATTGATGGTTTATTCTGATAGAAAAATCAGAATGGTTATATCCTCAAAGTACCAGCTGCTCCACCAGGGTAAAAGATCACTTAATGTATTCTAATTTATATTTTCTACAAGAAAATACCAATGACACTTGGGGAATAACCTAGAACAATAGGTAGCTAGAGCAAAAAGAACTTGACCATATTCCTTGAACCAACATTCTATTGTTAAAACTAAAAATATGGTTAGAAACATGCATGTGCCAAACATTTTGAAAATCCGTACTGAACGTAAATTTTCACTTGCCAATTAAAAACAAGTATGAAATATTAGATATGCATATTCATACCATACAAGCATGTTCTGGTTTTCAAAATTTATCAGACTTTTATAAGTTGTCAAATATTCACAATTTCTGTTTTTTACTATGGTTAAACAAGAATAATCTACTTTTATAGAACATACAGTAATCTATACTTCATCATAGTTCCTATTGTATATTAATATATTCAAATTAACATTGCTATCAATGTAACAACTTTAGTCTATCGAATATGAACTTTCTATTTGAAAGCTTTTGGGGAGTCATATACAATTATTAATAAGTATAAATAACTATACTATTATTATACTAAATGCAATGTGAAATCAACAAGTTTGTGATACTATGTTACGGAAATTTCTTCCTAAAATTTATACATATAACAAAATTATAAATTTTTTCTAACATTCATTAAACAGTGTATCAACAACACTTTTTATAGTCTAAAAAAATCAGGTCTATAAAATTTGAAACAATTTAACTAATAAATTTCTGGTTATAAAACCCTAAAACACAAGGTGAAATCTCTTTTCCCATATAACAACGTCATTATGATCATAGGAAACATAACCATCTATATCCCACATTTTTCTCAAATCATCATCATAGATGTACTAAGTTATATACTTGTACAAGGAGCATTTCTGAACCTTTTTTGATGCTGTGAATTACATTACTGTTACATGTAAGATGTGCTGTAAATCTAAATGTTAATTATAACTTTGTGTTTCATGAACAAGAATATCAGCATACTGAGAAAACATGTTTTATATTGAAAACTGTTTTGAACAATTCACTTAAGGAAGCACAACAGAAAAAAAAGGGATTGAAATAATTATTCAAACAATGTTACTAAACACTTTTTTAAAACTCAAGATCTAAGCAATACACTGATGAATAAGTCCTTTTTTTAATGAAAGTCTAAGTCAAGATTTACCACTAAAAGGTAGCTATTATATATTTAGGCTATAATCTCCTTTTATTCTCAGATTTGCTGTTTAATTGAAAAAAAAACTACTGTAACTAAAAATGTTGAAAATCAAAACTGACAGCCTTCAGACATTTATTACAGCTTTTCTAGGGCCAGAAAGAAACAGTGACAGGGCATGAATCAAACAACTAGTTTTTATGAATCTTGTAAGTAAAGCTACATACCATTCTTTTTTTAATGTTAGTTTCAGTATTTGTCAAAATGTTTAATATACATATATTTTTTTCTGATTTTATATTTATTTATTACTTTATTATTATGAGGATTACTTTGCATTGCTAGCTTAGTATATGAATTTAGGACTAACTTAAATCTCCTAAACTGGTCAAACCTCGATATATTGCTAGGATTATGGCTGATGCTATAAATAACAATAAGAAGACTCTTCTAATGATTCAATACATTCATATTGTTATTATTATTATTATTATAAGTGTTGTTTTATGAGAATAAACATTCCTACTTATATCAGTATATTAAATTAATTATATTAATTACTAGGTTATTGTTTAGTTCTGATCATAGAAGATCATTTGCTTTGATTGGAAGTTAATCAATATGTGTTTTCTTTAACAGTCTTTAAGCCAAACTTATATAGGAGGAATATTTTGTTGCATATAAACTAATTTTTTTACAGAATAACTTGTAGTTAAAAAAATGCTTTAACACTAACCTCTGATTCCTCCTTGATAAAGTCATTTAAATTGAGAATCTCTGGAAACGTTACCCTGAAAAAGACAAAGAAAGACTACCACTGCATCTCTTTCTAATACATGTTAATACCAAGATATATTTAGGGTATGTTAATTTACACATAGAATTTTTAAGCTCCACTACTAAAACAGTGTAATATATTATATATTATTATTGCTCTCGATACATGCTTTAATTGTGCTAATTACAGAACTTAACTCTCTGAAACAGAAAAACCAAATAATAATTCCTTACAAATTACAATAACTTTACATGTTGCTTGTGACTTTTATATCATTACATAAGCATCCCCATATCTTACTTTCTGTAAGTCTGCTACCAATACACATTTTATGTTAAAACATGTTTCACACTACAGTGTTTCTTGGACATATTCATACTCCTAAAGTCTAGATTATATCAACTTGTATGGTGGCCTCTAAATAAGCCTAGTTATAATTACCTTGTTTTGCAATTAATCCCAATTTGTGCTAAACTGTTAAAAGCTGAAATTTTCCAAAACCAAATATTATAGAATATAGATCTTGAGGTAATTCATAATAATAATAATATAACATATTGCGAACAACAAATATTTAACTTCAATCAATGGCAGTGTTACTTTATGCAACACTTTATAACCAGGAACACACAGTATAGTATCAGAAATTTGTAATACATGCTAATGATAACAATTTAGCATTATACACACACACACATTTTCATACAAGAAAATACATTATCATTGGAAAATTCTTATATAACAGGTAAAATAAACATGTTGTACTTCCTCATTTTGAAATAAATACACATATGAATGTTAATGAAAACAAAAGTGAAAATCAATTAAAATAATGTACTAAATACATACTCAGTAGATTAATTTTGGCTTCTGTTAAGAAAAACACACCCAACCAAATAATCACCTGTCATTAAGTTTAATGCGGTGAAGAGTCATTGGATCAAAATCAAATCTCTTCAGTTGTAAAGTGAGAAGATAAGGAAAGTTGATGAATTTCAGGCCTTTATGAGCATCACATTTCTTGCTGCAATGTTCACAATAATACTGGTTTGATCCATCTAGAGTCTCTGGTGATACAAATGCCCGTAAAGCTTCCTCCTGATTGTTGAACATATAATAATACAAAATATTGTTTTTCAAATATTTTGTTTACATCCTATAATTTAATATATTTTCAACTGAATACAGCAACTTATAATTACTTATAAAATATATTTTATCTACTAAACTTTCAGAGAAAATAAAGTCCTTTAAAAACTATACGAATATTTTGAAACCTATTAATCCTTCACAAGAATGAAGATTTTCATAAGAGCCAGTTTGCTCTACATTCAAAAATACTAGTATGTGAAAAAACTATTACGTGCAATTATCACAGTCACTGTAGTTAATCGTATGTTTACAGAAATTATTTTGTTTTACTTTTAAATCTATTAATTTCCAACAAGAATGGAGATTTTCATAAAGATCAGTTTGCTCTACATTCAAAAATACCAGTACGTGAAAAAAACTATTATGTGCACTTCTCCCATTCACTGTAGAAATTCATGTTTACAAAAATAAACATAATGTACCTTATTTTGTTTAATTTTGAACTCTCCTAATTTCCGACAAGAATGTAGATTTTCATAAGAATCTGTGTGCTCTACACATTCAAAAGTACTAGTAAGTAAAAAAAACTATTGCGTGTACTACTTCCAAAATACTGTAGACATTCATATTTTTACAATAATCATAACCTTATTTAGTTTTATAACTGAAATTTTTACAAAACCTCTGTAAAATACCATACTCCAATAATTTTGTAAACATTCATAGAGACTATAGATATATATATAAGAACTTAGATATTCTTTATCCTATCATACCTCTGCAAGTTTACTACATTCATAATTCATAAAGGTTTACATATACTCTATAGGCTATCCCTATTCCAAACAAATATGCATAAATGTAATTATAAATATTATGTAACCTACCAAACTGCTATAAAACTGTTGATATTCATATAGATTTACAAATACAGTGTATCCTACTGTACATGTAGTACTATTAAACTGTAGACATTTATACGTTTAAAAATATTCTTTAACCTACAAAACTGCCTCTGGATATTTCAGATATTCATAATTTTTCACCAATATCCTGAACTATACACTTGTAAATTGTAAACACTCAGAGAAGTGTGTGTGTGTATTCTTTAACCCTTTCGCGACAAGCACACATCAAATATTTACAATATATCTTTTAATGATTCCAAGTCTTTTGTATACAAAAAATCTGACTTTTTTAATGAAGTATTTTTACTAAAGATTTGTTTGTGAAAATATCGAGTCTGTTTCATTACTAGTCCGAGAGCGAAGTGATTTTCATGTCATGATTTGTTTAACCTCTAAAACCTCCTAAATACATTTCAAACGTTTGTTTTCATTAAAATTTATATTTTGTCTTATTTTCTGTAATCTAAGTATAGGGGGTCTGTCAATTTGACTGACCTCGTAACCACCATAAAAATTAGGAAATATATACAAGTTATGCTTTTTCCTTCTAGAATGACTATAAATTACAAAATGAAAATACAAATGTTTAATCTAAATAGCTTAAATCTCATAACATTATACATTTATTATATTGATCTTCTAGTTGTGTCTGGCTAACAATAAAGAAGTTACAATGACACAGTGCATGTGCACTCATGTTACCATATCCAATAACGTAAAACTGACCTTTAGTCTTTACAAAGTGACCTGTCTTGGCAGTGTTTTAGTGCAGTAGTATTTTGTAAAATATTGTCACATTTCAATTATTATACACTATATATGTATATAGATTATTACTATTTACAAGATGAAGTAAAGCAAACAATTATATCTTCTTGTTACCACTTTTGTACTTGGTTGCTGCTTCTCGTAGCTTGCTAGGCCTTAAGAAATTTCACATGTGGAGGATGTGAAACGAAATAATTTTTGTAGGTTGTTATTACTAATAAGGATTTTCAGACACATTTTTTCAATGTACAACACTTTCATAAGGCTTAGTCACTGAAATAAATTTACAAAAGTTTCTGTCACCTACACACACACACACACATTTGAATAACCAAAAAAATTTAAATTACTACATCGATACCACAGAATTCCATTATAATTTATCAAATTTAGTAACTACGCTGCATTTTGGTCTGAAAATATTTGAAAGTTTAGAGCAGACTAAAGACACAACCTACCTCTTTGAAATCTTGTTTCAAAAGAACAAAATGGTGTCTTTATACATGCAATTGGCTGAGAAAGCCATTAGGGGGACATTCTGAGCTTTCGATTGGTTAGTCACATGTCATATACACAAGTAAGTGTATATAAGGAACCATTTCCAAAAATGGTAAGAGGTGAGTGAGGCCACTGTGTTTGATTCAGTACATGACCGATATCTCAGCAAATACAAAAGGCAGAAGGTTATTACTTTATATTCTAGCTTGTTAAGATCGGTTAATTCGTAAGAAACTACAGAGTTTGTATTTTGACATCACAAACATCTAATTTGAACCAGTGTTGCATTCAACATACCATGTGACACACAAAAATCAATGTTTAAGTGTTTTTTTAATATTTACTTTTAAATTAAGAAATTAACTAATGTATAATACTAACATTTGAATTATAATCTACAGTTTGATACCAAACTTATTCACATAAATTCATAAAATAGTAGTTGAATGAAATTTTGAATGCGAGTCTTTGACCTGTGACCATAGGAAGACCCGTGTCAGTAGGGTTAATTCCACTTGTATACCACATGGTTCAGTTATTTAACCGTAGTGATAGGGTTAATCTAGCAAACTTTCACATAATTTCAGAAATTCACATAGATCCAATATTTTGTACATTCACTAGACTGCACATATTTTGAAATTCACATAGATCCAATATTTTGTACATTCACTAGACTGCACGTACTTTGAAATTCACATAGATCCAATATTTTGTACATTCACTAGACTGCACGTATTTTGAAATTCACATAGATCCAATATTTTGTACATTCACTAGACTGCACGTATTTTGAAATTCATACAGATCCAATATTTTATACATTCACTAGACTGCACATATTTTCAGAAATTCACATAGATCCAATATTCTGTACATTCACTAGACTGCACATATTTTCAGAAATTCACATAGATCCAATATTCTGTACATTCACTAGACTGCACGTATTTTGAAATTAACATAGATCCAATATTTTGTACATTCACTAGACTGCACGTATTTTGAAATTCACACAGATCCAATATTTTGTACATTCACTAGACTGCACATATTTTGAAATTAACATTTGGTTGTTATTACTAATAAGGATTTTCAGACACATTTTTTCAATGTACAACACTTTCATAAGACTTAGTCACTGAAATAAATTTACAAAAGTTTCTGTCACCTACCACACTTCCATAAGATTGTTGAGACCCAAAAGGCCTTACTACCAAAGGTACATCAGAGAATTTGTCAATCCTGGCACTTTCAAACCCACACTGGAACAAAAGCATTTTATGAAGTGCAACTAGTGAAAATACAAAGTGTGTTTTTCTTCTTCTTCCTCATCAGTACTTAAAAACTTTTAAACAAACTTTTCAAAAATCATTCAAACTGAAGTGTAAATTTATAAATATATATAATTTACTTATCAACATTCTAAAATAGTTAATTGTAATTTCTTGACAATGCTAAGAATTTGAATACGTGATTAAAAATGTTAAATGAAAAACTGCTTATATAAGCCATATTCTACTTGGTTAGCATTACAATGAAGTTTACAAAGAAAAGCTCCTATTTTTAATATTATGATAATACTGGTTTAAAAAATTAAATTAAATTTATTATTATTACCTTGACCAATTAAATTTGAAATTTCTATTAAGACATTAAGGTAATAGCTAAAGGCAAGCATCATCAAGTATAGAAAACAGAATTACTGAAAGTTACATCCAATAAAACACACTGCTGAGAGTCACAAATTAAGCAAGACTTTAGCTTGATCAATCTAAATATGTAACTCATAACCAAAAATGGCAATTCAAATTTGTATTTAAAACATATTGCTACCCACTTAGCCAAAACATTACAGTAATCTTCCTAATATTCTAAACACAAACACATTAATTTAAAATGATATCAATTTGCTCATTAATTTTAAAAAATTAGAAATAACTTAACAAGTTTAGTTATCAGTATCTTCTCTTTAACACAAATTAAACAAAAAAATAATTTATCAAGCTTTACTGACAACTTGAAATAACTGTTAAGTTTTTAAAACTGTATAATATCATGGGGCTGGATGAAGATGAAAATTAATCCTACTTGAAAGCCATTACTTCAAACTCAACAAACTTATTATTGTCAAAATTTGCTGAACTTTGCCATTCCAGTATGTCTAGCTTCAAAAACAAACTATAATAAAGTAATGTTTCAAAATTTAATAATGCTGGAATCTGTTTAAATTATTTAAACCAACATACACATTATTAGTATTATAAATATATACACTAATATTAATTAATTTTCTACAGAAACCATTAATCTATTTTTCTAGATAACAGATTAATGTACTTTGATTTTCATGAATCTTAACAAGATTACTAAAAACTCCTTTCAGCCTCATTTAGAACATAAGAACTTTACCATTACTCTTTACATAAAATGTTTAAATGGACAAAAGAAAAACAGCATCAATTTTGATGCACAAAAGTATAAATAAACTTCCAAGTCTAACCTCTAAACATTTCACATAATCTTTTAGTTTTCCTTCATACAATGTGCTTATGAGATCAGCCTGGTCTGTATTCTTGAATTTCTGTTCTAGTGCATCAAACATAACACGACATAGCTCCTGGACATCATGTTGTTGCCAAGCTGTAAACAGTAGGTAACATGGCTGAATGACATATGAACATCAAAAATACTATGAAATAAATATATATATATTTCTGGTCATTTTCAGAGAATTACTTTGGATGAAAAAGGATGAATGGAGTTATATTTTCAACTTTAATACAAATAAACTGTGGCTGATGTCAAATGTTTGAAGATATGCTTCACCTAATGCCACAGAAACACACTTAATTTGTACATAAAGTTGCTTCCATCCACCAATGTCATTTTCTTTTATTTATTTATAAGTACCAGCAGTGACATTTGCCAGTGTTATTTTATATTTTGGTTAGGTAAACTTTCATTCTTCTCTCTCTTTCCTATTATGTTTTATACTTTATGCTTCCAGTTGCAGAAAACCTATTTTTGCTAAAAATTTTAACATCAACATTATGTACAGTCAGCTTAATTTCAAAAATTGTCAATTATTATAGGCCTTACACCATGTGGTACTGTACAACAACATGCACAAACGTTCACATAACCAGTTTTCTATGCAATATTTATTTACTATAACAAACAGGTTCTGAAACCTTAAAACTGCTGAGTATGTACAGTTCATTGTTAATTAAATGCCAATCTATAAATATTAAATTAGTCTTGATAAAATGAAGCATTCAAAGAAAATGGAAACTCCTTTTTCCATTTCATGTAATCATGATGATGATTTCCAATGGTCTTACTAGAAAATACTCTATAATGATTGCTAGTAAAATAACTCAACAAATGATCACTCAAGATGTTGAGGTTACAAATTATACCAAAACAGAATTTAATATATAAATGTTGACCACAAATAGAATTCTTGGGAAAATAAATTTAGAAACTTGGCTGAAACTAAAATATAATTTTGCATTAAAATTAATCTTATTTACATATACTTTATCCACATCTGATTTTCTCTTAATTCATTATCGTTGTTGGATATACAAGACTGTTTGGTGCAAGTCTTATTATTTAGTTTTCATAACAGCAGTGTAAAAGATTGATTGTTTTAGAAATGTTAGTTGTGACAAATTTTTGTATCGTAACTCTGTACGAGTCATACGTTATTTGTGCAATTACATTTTTGTCCAGGCTTTACTAATATTGTTGACTTTGCATTACACAAATCTTTGGTGTTTTTCTCGTTAACTTAACCGAGTATTGTACATCACTATCCATGTAGTTTGTAGAAAATTCCAGGCCTCGGTGAACAAGGAAAATATATATAGTTGATAGTGAGTGAAAGTTCAGTATAGAAAAGTCAAGTGAGACAGACTTAGACTGAGTGATTGGCAGTTCAGCTGTGTGGGCAATTTATAAAGAAGTTAAAAGTTTAGTCTGAAAACATTAAATAATGTTCAGTCCAAAGAAAAAAAAAGTAAGAAAACATGAAGTTAGCCAGCATGTGAGTGAATAGCCATAACGGGCGATATATCTTAAAGTGAGTTTCACAGCTTATAGAGATAAGGAGAATAATTTGTCTTGTCAATTGGTGTTCTAAAGTAATTGAACCCACCTGTGTGGACTCTGACGAATGGAGACAATTATTTAAAGTTCAAGATACAACTGTGGTAATTCATGAGGTAATGTAAGGAAATTCCATTGAAAATTACAGCAGTATATCACACTATTTAAAACATCAAAATTAACTGGAAGATAAACACTAATTGAAAATACATTTGTCCATTAACTACATATTTCTACACTAGTAGAGACCCCACAACACATCTGGTGTCGAATTAGTATCATTATTGCAATAGTACTTCTTTAAATACAGGATTCCTAGAATAATACAAAAGAATTTTAATCATTGACACCGAAATCTGCAAGTCAACTTGTTTTGGGCCTAGCATTAGTTAAGCCTTTATTAAGTATGGCCTACATTCAGTAAAGAGATAAATTAACACTGTAACTTATGTATGTTTTTGGCTTTAATTTAGTTAGGTCTAAAAATTACTGTACTTAATACTATCAATAGATAAATATAAAATGTTATTCTATGAGCTAATATTACACCTTTTAAAAACTTTGAATAGCTTTTAATATGCTGTTGTACAAAATGTCTACTAAAGTATATTTAAATTATTTGGTTTACATTCATTGAAATGAAGTAGGTGCACATGTGCATTTAAATAGTAAAGTACATGCAAATTTTCAGGACAGGAAAAACTGAGTATCATTATAATACATAACTTATTCAAAAACAAGACTAAATAATAAAACTAGTTCAATATCCAACTGATTCAGACATAAACTTAATTACAATGAGAGTAATAAACAGCCTTGTACAACAGGTAAAGTTTTGAAAACTTCTGAAACTACAGAAAGAATTGATTATACAAAATGGATCACTCACTGTAAAGAGATGAAAATAAAGCAACAGAGGGTTCCATAACATTGGTGATATTTGTATACAAAACTACATCTAATCTGCACACAGATAAATATTTTAACCAAATAAATCTCAGCAAGACATATAATTCGATATTCTAATCAGCTTATTATAGTTATGTTTTATAAGTAAACATAGTATATGATAAACATTTAAATGAATAAGTTCTTTACTTCTTTCCATAGCAAAACAATAGCTTACTATGGTGAATGATTCAGCCTTTTAACCCACCTCACTACAGGTACATCAAAGTGTTAATAGAAAGACAAAGTTTTAAATTATAAAATGACATATAATGCTACCTTCTTTCTCAGTAGAGATTTTTAGTTATTTCTTCTACAGATTGAAAGTTGCTATTCCCAAGTTCAGATCGAGTAACTAGAGGAATTATCTTAAGGCACTTATGCCTTACTTAGAACGGCAGTTAAATTATAATAGCTATAGGAAATTGTTTGCCTTGTGCATGTTATTATTTTGTGCTATACAGTGCACAATTGAAATAAATAAAAATTATCTAATGCTAATATCATTGTTACAAAAAAACAGGTAGGCTTAAGTTTCATCAGCAGGCCAACAGCAAAAAAACAAGATGCCAAATGTAACTACTAAATTTCTTGTTTTCTACATATATTTTTCATTTACTGTTACAAAGGTAATTAAAATGTAAAAATAGATATGTATTAGGGTAGATCAGGTATGATAATGAAAAAAAGAGGTATGTCCACAAACAGCTCATGTGTTATGTCATTCAAAATGATAACTTGAAATACACATTCACTAAGAAATTGTAAGATGGAAAAGGTATTTTTAATCTTAACATTAAAATCACCTTGTGCTCAAGACTAGTCAAAACTGTGATTCCATACGTTCATGGACGAATCTTTAGTAAAAATAATTAAAATATCTGATTTTTTTGTGTACAAAAGACTTCTACCATTTATTAAAACACTGCCAGATTTCATGAAGATACAGATACCACATTAAAAGTTATAGTATGGTTACCTCATAATTACAAGTTCAGTCAAAATGACCATGCTTGTATTAAGAGAGTTAAGAGACCAACCTATTCCACTTCTTAGTAGTCTTTCCACGAATGTCTCTAAGAATTGTTTTTAGAAGTATTTTTTGACTCTGTAGCCTTTTTTATTTATTATGAATATAAAATTCACAAACTAATGATGTAACTAATATTCTACACCTGTCCTTTGTACTCAAAAGACATTGTATCCATTACCTGATGGTCAATATAACAATTCATGAATTTTAGCACACATTCTTTTCACAGCTTCTAATGAAAAAGCCAGAAAGTATGTTCAAGATTCTTCAAATAACTTACTAAAAATGTAAACAAAATATTAAACAAGTAAATTCAAATATTATTTATATATTATTGATTAAAAAGTGATATTTTATACCCCAGCTTGATTTATATTTGTTAATATTTATATGTTCTGTTTGTTTGTTGTTAAATACAAAGCCATACAATAGGCTATCTGTGCTGTTCCCACCACAGATATCGAAACCCAGTTTTTAGCATCATAAGCCAGCATACTTACTGCTGAGCCACTGGGGAGCTATATATTCCAATACAAAAACACACAAGTTCAGCAAATCAATAATGACTTGCTGGAGGGCATACCCATTTTAAAACCTGAGATATAAGCTCATTTGTCAAGATTCTTCTTAGTAGGTATAGGCATGCGAGTTCAACTGGTAAAATCAAAGGCCAGCTTATATTAGCTCTTGAAGTTTCAGAAATACATTATTTTCTTTTAATTTTATATATTTTATTGATAAGTAACAATATAAGCTACAAAGACAAAAAGAAAAACTATAAACATGTAACAGACAGTTAATCACCTATAACTGCTTCAAAAATTAAAAATATACACATTTTTCCAATTTCTATTTCTAAAATTCAATAAATAACTATGATGAAATATCTTAACTATTTCTACTCTACAAAGAATTACTGGAAAAGATTAGAAGTATAGTTTTTAATTAAACTTTGAATGTAGATATGTAAATTTGCAATTGGAATGACCCTGCATTACACGGGCATGAAAAAGTTAGTACCTTCACTACTATCCCATCCAAAGCTTGTTGTCAATTCTGTCGTACCAATGGCTGGTCTCTTGCTGGTCTATAACAATACAAACAGTTGACAAAATCAGTTTTAAAACATTAGCTTGTACAACAGATATATAACAAAAACATTAAAAGAACAAAGAATCAATATCTTCCCAAGCAATTAAACCGAGTGTAAAAACATTTAAGCAAAACTGGTATCATGTAAAAGATCCCACCATACACCCAACAATTCCTCTGTACATTCATATGTATCAACTTTTAAAAAACGATTTGTATATGCTATTAATGCAATGGTGTGTTACCACAGATGTGATGCATGGAGCCACTGATAACATGTTTATTACCTATGTATTTGGTTCATACAGTTCCCAGCTATTTAACAGTCCAATGTTGCTAGGCCAGATTTATGGCTGGAAAAACAAGTCACTGTCCAAAAAAAAACGTTCATAAAGCAAGATTTGTTTATACAATGTGCATGCAAAGAACACAACATTTAGAAAAACAGAATTTTTAACGTTTCTTCTTGGAGGTAGTAAATCTTGCAAGCAGAATATGTTCATGACAGCAACAGGTTCACATCCATACCCTTAGCTAATCCACAAAAACACCCTCATCTGAAAACTGAAGGCATGGTTAAGAAAAATACTTTTCTGACCCAGAAAAGTATTGCAATGAGCATAAGCGTATCTTCTGGTGCCACTATCTCTTTCAGCACAGGTTCGGTCCCATAGACTGACCTCATAACCATTTTGTGCTTGTTATAGTTTTCATGATATAACTTTTAAATTAGTAAACATATCTTCACAAAATTTTGCAGATTATCAGTAAACATTACAAGGCTTTCATATCCAAAATAGCATTTTTTAAAATTAAGTTTTAAGATTTTTTAATTAATTATTTGCTCGTGCATTTTTTATTTTGGAATGTTGACTAACATGCAAAGTAATTTTGATTTTAAGGTTAAAAAATACTTTTATGCATCAGAAAATTTTCAAATTTCACATACAAAATCTTTATAACCTCCAGATAGTTATCATACATCTATTAAGATAAAACTTTACATTTTATCTGTTATTGTCCCTATCGAATCTCTGTACAGGTTCGGTCAATTGGACCAACCTCGTAACCACCATAAAAAATTAGGAAATAAATATAAATTATCCTTTTTTCATTCTAGAATGACTACAAATTATAACACAAAAACACAAATGGTCTAAACAGTTTAAATCTCATAACATTATACATCTATTAGGTCGTCAAGAAATTAATGTTACATTTTGGAACACTTTCATTAACCACCCCCCAAAAAACGTAAATCATGTATAATAGTTAAATGAACTGCCTAAACGTCACGTTAGTGTAGCCTATATAATGTATAATCCCTTATAGTGATGGCACACGATGAGACACACATTCACATGTAATGCTGTTTGAACACAAGAAGGGAAACAATGCCTCTGTAGCCACAAAAAATATCAAAGACGTTTATGGAAATGTTTTGAACATTTGTAAGTGTCAATGATGGTTCAGCAAATTTCGTTCATGTGGCTTTAGCCTTAAAAACTGTGATGGTAGGGGCTGACAAGTTTGAATTGATATTGATGCTCTGAAGATACTTGTTGAGTCTAACCCAAGGCAACACACTGGTGAAATGGCCATGAAATTTCATCTCTCTCATGGAACAATACGTAAACATCAAAGGAATATGGGAAAACTCCATAAAGAAGGTGTTTGGATGCCTCACAAACTCTCCGATGATTATTGTTTCCAATGTGTGAATGTTACATCATCTTTTCTGGTGTGTAATGCGCATGAACCATTTTTGGACAGAATTGTCAACGGTGGTGAAAAATGGATTCTCTATGCAAATATCAAACACCAAAAACAATGGCTCA